GTGATGTACTCCATATATAGTACTCCCTACGTCTCGCTAAGATTGTCCCATCTTTCATTTTCGATTAGGCATGGACCCGGTTCGGGCCGCCCGGCCCGGGACCGGCCCGGCCCGCCACTGTGCGAGCCCGGAACCGGCCCGGTTCTCGGGTCCGGGTCCGGGTCGGGCCTAGGCCCGGTGGGGTGGCCGGGTCCGGGCTCGGGCCTTGAATTTGGCGAACCGGCCCGGCCGGGTCGGGCCCGGGCCGAATTGATTTTTTTTTAATTTTTTTTTTCTTTTTTTGGGGTTAGCCAAGTTGGGCTTGATGGTTAGGAGGGGTTTGGGGGTTTGGGGGGGGGGGGGTGTGGGGGTGAGTGGGGGGGTTAGGAAAGCAAAAAAAAAAGAAAAATTATAACCGAACCGGAGGCCCGGCCCGGCCCGGCCCGGACCCGGACCGGACCCGGTGGCTACCCGGGCCGGTCCCGGGCCTTCCTTCCCAAAAAAAAAAGCCCGGCCGGGCCGGGCCCGGAACCGGAACCGGCCCGGCCCGGGTCCATGACTATTTTCGATCTGTCCCACTAAGATTGTCTCATAACAAATTTGATAAAGTTTGTGTGATTCTAAATCATTCTTACTTTATTTCTATTTTATCAATTACATACCAACCACGTAAATTTACTTTTCTTAATAATCGTGTTATCTCCACATCTCTCAATGTTAGTGGGACGGAGATCACAGTTGATTAAAAGTAACAAATTATACGTAGTATAAGTTCATAGATATATCGAATCTGATTGCTTTTTCGGAGGTGATATGTTCTGAGTCTGATTCAATGACGGACGATAGACAGTGAACTTTTTGTCTTTTTGTAACCTGCTTACGTTCTGTTATTTTAATATCATCCACCTTCTTCCAAAAAATGATGCCCTTCCAAAAAATGATGCCCCACATTATCTTGGTGCCCTAGACATATGCCTAAGTGTCTTCCCCATATAGCCGGTCCTGTCCAGACTCTTATGCAATTTTACATAGTAATCTTCCATTGCAGTTGCCGGGATTTGAACCCAAAACAATTCATTGTAGCACCCCCTATCTGTAAGTCCAGCTACGTACACCGGTCCAATTTTATAATTTCTACATTTTATTACCCGTATTGGGGACTAAACTTAAACCAAATTAATGGAAATAGTGACTGTGCTTTGACTAAAATAATGATTATGAATTAAAATGTAACTTTTTCTCCCTCCATCCCTTAAAACTTTGCCAAGTTTGACCGCCACGAAGATTAATAAGATAAAAACTATGTGATTGAGGTTTGTGCAGAAGAAAGAGAATTAACTGGAACCACAAATTCTTTACTTAAAGGGGAAAATGGAAAAGTTAGTGAGACATCCAAAAAAGAAAAGTTGACAAAGTTTTAAGGGACAAGGAGAGAGTATACAAAATGGTCATTGTAACTTTTAGTGATATGTCCACCAAATTTCAGCTTAAAATTCAATCAAGAAGTCTGTTAAATAAATTTTTGAAAAACACTTCACTTTTTAAATATATAAAAAGTGCAATGCTTTTCAAATACTTATTGGATTGACTTCTCTATTGAATAATAAGATAAAATTCGATGAGCATAATCTACATTTCATGGGGAGTATGCTGACAAATTTTCATAAAAAATATCACCAGAAACACCTCAATAGGAGAATTCCGCACAGTAGTTCCGATCAGGAGCTCCTAACAAGAACGGGAAACTACTATAGCATATACAAACACATATTTGTGTCATTGTGTGTATGTATATGTATATTTACGTACCCGCATACCCCGTATATCACATTTTATTATTTTCTAGAATATAAAAAATATACCCCATAATAGGTAGAAAAATGACAAAAATAAGAGTTGAGAGTTTTGATTGGACAAAAATAGAACCATTTTTGGGAAGGACAAAAAACAGACATGTACACTACGTCTAGACGGAAGAAATACCTACGGACGGAAGCAAAAGGGGATTGCTAAAGGGGGTTGCAAAAGTTCATCAGGCCTAGCTAGACCGAAGAACTTGCACCTGCTCCATGGCCATTCCAGATTGCCGCTGTCGCTATCAAGCAACTGCGCTGCCACCACTATTAAGCAACAGTGCCGCCATCTTCGTCGAGAAACAGCGCCGTCGCCGCTACTTCTCTTATCTTCGCACCGCGCTCGAACGTTGCAGATCTATCATCTTCCTCTCGTTTCTTTTCTGGAGCATCTCCGATGGCCGACCACCGGAGATACGCGATGAAGACTTGCGGCTAGGAATTGCTGGCGACGAGTCACGATGACTTGCCATGGATGCCGATGCGCGACTGTCGAAGATTGACGACGAGGACGACGAACGACAGTAGGACAGCCCAGATCCAGCATCTACGGCGGCTTGGGGGAAGCTAAAGGGAATTGCAAAAGTTACTAGGGACAGGGGCAGGTGCAGGGAAGGGGGCAGGGAGGGGGCAGGGGAGGGGCTGAGGAGGGTGTACTTGCGGGCGGCAGCAGCCATCACTGGGCTGGGTGGTTGCCTGGACGGCGGTGGTTGGTGGTGGCCGGGGCTGCGGTGGTCGGGGTGGTTGAGAGCGACAGTGGCTGCATTGGTCATTAATCGGTTTGGTCATGGCAACAGGTTGGATTGGTCACTGGTCGGGTAGGTCATGGTCGTTGGTCACTGGTCGGATTGGTCACAGTCGTTGGTCGGGTTGGTCACTGGTTGCATTGATCATTGTAATTGGTCGGGTTAGTCACTGGTCAGATTGGTCACGGTCGTTGGTCGGGTTGGTCACTAGTCGGATTGGTCATGATCGAATTAGTCACGATCAAATTAGTCACGATCAGATTGGTCATGGGCATGTTAGTCAGTACTCAGATTGGTCATTGTTACTAGTAGGAGTTTAGTCTCTTTTTTCGGAATTTTTTAAAAGTGGTCCTATATTTGTCCATAGCATTTATTTTTGTATTATTTATGGACAAACCCCTAATAAGTATTCTCTCTATGAATAAATTAAAACATTATAGGTCATGCACAACTTTCATGCAAAAAAAAAAACATATATAAACACATGAAAATAAAAAGGGAAAAAATTATACTACCTTCATTCCAAATTGATTTGCAAAGTCAACTTTTTTGTCAAACAGTTTCATTTTATTCACTCATTTAGGATATCTTTTTTAATTATAATCTAACTCGATTTTGCATCTTTGTAGATATTTTAATATAGAATCTGAATATGTTTTTTTTACAGAAACAAAAACTATTATTAAGCATTTCATTGTTTAAATACATGAGTACATGACAATATAAGATGAAGTAATTGCCCCATATAGGACTAAAAGAAGGGAGAAATTCTCAAATAGGACCATGTATGAATTTTTTCCTAAATAGGACTATTTTACTCCTATTTCAAAACATCCGTATTTTTCGTTCCATCATTACCCCTTATCCCTTTTAGGCTTATCTCTCTTCCCCAAAACCGATTCTCCATTCTATCTTGCCCACATATCTATATCTCTTCCTTCACTGCGCATCATCGACCGACTTCACCTTAGCCATCGTTGCCGCCGTCGACTCCGCCCTGCGCACAAGATCGATCGACGCCGTCGATTTCTCCGTTCGCCGCTGCAACAAAGGTTCTTCTCTATCCCTCTTCTCTTCCTCTTTCTCCTCCTCCTCCTCCTCCTCTTCTTCTTCTTTTCGATTTTCCTCCATTTTTCTGAATTTTGAATTGATTTTTCCAGTTTTTCGCACTTCTATTTCTATTTTATGGTTTTCAATTTCAGAGTTTAAAAAATTGATTTTCATATATTTTTTGGATGATTGCTTTAGATTTGGCCAAGTTTATGGCAGAGATGTGTACATTTACAATCAATTTATGGAAGAAATGCTTTTGTATAAGTAGGTTTTTCTACTTTTTTGTCATTTGCTTCGTTTTTCAAATTTCCATTTCCTGATTTATTAATTTTTTGAAAAAATCCACTTTCCAGATTTTGGGATGATAGCATACGATTATGCCATATTTATGGCAGTTTTTTGGATGATGGTATACAATTTTGCCAAGTTTATGGCAGAATGTAATCTGAGAATCATAATGTGGCAAAACACTCTTTGTCAAATCAGTTTTTTATTTTTATTTTTTGTCATTCACTTCTTGTTTGTTATTGAGATGCATTCGTGTTAAAATTTTGGTTTTTCAGAAATTTTGTTTCGCCAAGATTATGGCAGTTTTGTGTAAATCGGTCAATATAAATCTGCCATATGGCAGATTTGAAAATTTGTTTAAAACATATTTGAAGGTAATCTTCAAGGCCAAATCTTCCAATTTTATGGCATATTTTTGGCAGTGGGGTGTGACGGCGGCGACAGTGCTCGGAGGTGAAGTGGTGGCCCCGGATTCAACACAATTGCGGAATCAACGATGGCGGCGGCGGAGACGGATGGTGACGCCGGTTGGGCGATGATGCACCAGCAGACGGTTCCGGCGAGTGCGGCGGTAGTCAGCGCCGATCAGGGCAGCGGGGGCAACTCTGGATTTGACGCTACTGCCGGCATTTGACTGCTTACAGTTTCAACTGTTTTTCTATTTTGCTTTTTTTAAATTGAAAATAAATAAAGCAGGGTTATTTTTGTCCATCTATGCTTAATTTAGTCCTATGAAACTCCACTTCCGTAAGCAGTCCTATATGTGCAATTAACTTTGCAATTAGTCCTATTTGAGTCATTAACTCTATAAGATGGGGTATAAGTAACCCAAATTAGCTATCAGACATAGAAGCAGAAACCCCTATCAATTTCTGGGCTACTCAATTCGCTCATTTCCGCACGTGAGAAAAGGATATACTAGCAAATTTACTTGACAAATCTCTAATAAACCCCTATCAATTTCTGGGCTACTCAATTCGCTCATTACCGCACGTGAGAAAAGGTAATACTAGCAAATTTACTTGACAAATCTCTAATATCATCAACAATTACTCTGAACGAAAAGACTTGTGGTTCAGACCATATACATTGTAAAATCAACTTGGGACGAGGAAGTATGTCCATTAATGTAATTTTATACCTTTCCGTCATCTTTCAACTCTTTTTTCCAAAGGAGTCTACTCCATTCAATTGGTAATTTAGATTCAGCACTTCAATGTTCAGCTCCATACAATAGTCTCTGATTCGGACAATAACCCTTAATTCAGATATTAGTCTCCAACTAGTTGCACCAAACATAGCCTTGGTGTTACTCAAACTATTTACTCAAATCAAACTATGAAGTTCTTTAACACGCAGATGTTTAGAAAATTTTGTACTCTTATCCAGAATTTATATCCAAGATTAGCACTAATATCAACTAACAATTGAAAGAGAATTAACTGCATTCATGAAGGAAGTTATCTGTAACTTATCCTTTTGAATGCCATCAGGAGCACAAATTCCGCTGCTGACATCAACTCCATGTGGGCTAAGAGTAGAGAGAGCTTCACATACATTTCCCGGGTAAATCCCTCCGGCCAAAAGCCATCCACGTTTACTTCTGATAGGAGGTATCTTAAATACTCCCCAGTTAAATCCCTTACCGCTGCAAAGTAAATATTTTTTCACAAAAAGATAAAATGTCTGGTGAGCTTTTAATCAAGGACAAATTCGTTATAAAAGAAATCAAGCACGTTTGGATTTTAGTACACTGGAATTTCAAACAGAATCTAGGCTCTGTTTGAGTGATGAATACTAAACTATTGTAAAAAACACTTTTTCGTGGAATGTAAATGCTCTACGTATACAATCATGTTTAATACACACACAATATCATGAAATGGATCAACTCCTTCAAAGAAAAGATTAACTTTTACAGAAAATGCAGAGTTAACCAGATACCTTTTCCGATTTGACAGTATTTTTTCTGCAAGCCAAACACAAGAAGAACTGGAAAATATATACATTTCCCTTTGATCAACTAGAATTTTGGGGTATGACCTTCCATTCTTATGTTTTGGAGTATGTTGTAATCCTTCAAATGCTCAACTTTTAAGCTTCCCTAAATTGGTGGCTTTCGAAGCATAACTAATTAAATGACAACTTTCTTTGAATTTAAATTTAATACAGTTATAACTATTTTAAAACTTCATACCCATGATACGGTTTAATTATAATTCCTCCAAATTTATAACTCCCAAACAAGAAAGATTTTATTCATTCCCCCCTCCCTTACCCTCCTACAGCGAACCTTTAAAACCTTCCCTTCCCTCCCCCAAACTCCCAAGCATACCCAGAGAGTTACTACCTCCCTTTAAGTTTCTACCTTGTTTCATTCTTTATAAGGTGTAAAAATTTAAATTTGCTTGACGAATGAGCATTGCGAGCACAGGAAAAGCATAGAGGGATACCTGCCACCTCTGGCACTATCAACTAGAACCCAATCAACCAATGGTGACTCTTCATCAGAAATCGAGTTCAAAAGTTCTCCATCCCCATTCACGTGAAGAACATATATTACATTCTTTTCCTTCACCAGAATTGGAAGAGCAACTCGTGAACCATTCCCATGAAGCTGCATTTCCAAGTTATGCGATGAAGAGCAAGTAAAGGTCAGTTGGATACATAGATATTTGATCAAATTATATTTTTTATCATATAAAGGTTTAGAAGATCTAAACAGAGGTATACAAAAAATATAACAACTAATGTATTTCACATTTTCACTTTCCTTTTCATTTTCCAAGGTAAACCTGAACAGGAAATAACGGTCCATTTTTTTACAGTGCTGAGAATCATTTACAAGAACCAATCTGAAGATATCCTAAGGGTCCTGTCCGTTCAGATCCAGAAAAATCTGCGGAAAGATAATGTGAAGGAATACTAAAAAATACGGGGCAAAGTAGAAGATTGGCTAAAACTAAAGATTATTTTAGACATTTATTGAAACTCACTTCATTTGTTTAAGTCTATTTTTCTTAGATGAAATCTAAATATAATACATTCAAATAAATGTTAATCATATTTCAATTCTGTTTTGCATTTTTCCAAGGAAAAACCAAACATAAATTATATTTTTGCTTTCTTTCCTTTCAATGACTTATTTACCTCAACCAATCCAAACACACCCCGAGTAATTCAAGAAGGCAGGTGATCAATATCAAAGTGTTATTTACCTGAACCAATTCAAGGCCTGCAGCATCAGACGCTTTAAGTATGGTATGAGCATCGTCATCTACAAACACCCCAACAGGCTTTGCTCCATATCTCCTAGCAACTTTAGAAATCTCCTTTGCTACCGTGAGTGAAACAGAACGCTTTGAGTTAGGCCATATAATCATGCCTATATAGTCTGCACCAGCTTCTGCCGCCAAAGCCGCGTCTCTGGCTGATGTGATGCCACACATTTTGACCACATGTCTTCTTTCTTGTTCACCATTGTGAGCACATGATACTTTAATTGCTCGCTTTAATATGCATTTTCTGCATGTAAAAGTTTTTGTTCTAATAGATTGTGTTCCTTTACTTGATAGATCTGCATAGTGATAAAATCATTAAAGATGAGATAGGCTTCTTGTCTATGCAAACATATCATATTTTGTGTTAAGTCCTACATTTTTTGTTACTCATCCTGATAATTTATGTCATTTTCTTTTTAATCGTGTGTCTACCTCATTTACAGGAATGAACAATAAAAAAAAATATAACCCAATGCATCTTGCGCAAAGAGAAAAGAGATGCAGCAATTTGCACACACAAAGCACACATTCAATGATTGTCCACTGTTCCAACTACACACAAAAATGACTATCTAAAATTTCCTCCCACAAATTTTTCCATATAAGTTTTACACTCCATTAGGCTATATGGATCGAACCCTTAAAGTGGTAGAAAAAGGGAACAAGTGCAAAGAAAAAATAAGTTTGTTTAATCTGTCTTTAACCTATTAAAATAAAAAGGGAAATGAAACTTGATTAAAACTTCATAATAATTTGCATGTATTTAGATTTTGTGTCTATATAATACAGTGCAAGTATATACATGAAATGAGTTCAGAGTATATGTAAAATTATTTATTTAGTTAAAAAAAAATCAGTGATGGGATTTAGATTTCTTTACTTTCAAATTTCTTTCCCTACTCTTTATGGTTTATAAATGGATTCTTAATAAAAAGAATAAATAAGATTCAGTTACTCTTCTAATGGGATTAGTCAACTTATTATTACCAAAATGATAGGGGAATATAAACAGAAAACTGGGGTTTAAACATCTGAAGGTTCTTGATTAGCTCTAGTGAGCATGTTTCTAGTTTGAGTTTCAGCTAGAACTCTAAATTTGGTCCCAAAACAAAATTACCGACTATGCATGAACTGTGTGTGCAAGTAATACCAATCCTATGACACACTTCTCAAAGTCTAGGTGGATCTTTGACAAACAACTATGGCGCATATTAGCCCATTCATTTGTGTTTTGCAAATAGTTTTTGCCAAACACACCAACACACACACAAACTTGAAGGCGATGGTAAAAAAGCAATATGAATATACCGACCGCAAACACAGAACATCTCCTTCCTGCACAGTTAACTTTTTTCCTGCACTTTGGAGAACTAAAATATTTTCCAGCTTTTTGGGTGTTTAGGAGCAGGACAGAACATATCCTTGTAGAAAAATATATGGTTTACCTTTGTGGAAAATGACTTCATAAAAAAAGATGTCATTTTCATGATGCTTTTGCTTATTTATGTTGTGTTAATATGATATCATACTACGTATATAGCATACATCCATTTGTATCCCAGAAAATAATGTTACAAACTTACAACAGTTTATTTTTCAGCAATTACACTGAGTCTTAGTTATTGTTCAGGGTTTTGTTGCACAATTTCGCAACATTGTTGATATTACAGAGTAACAAAGCACCCAAATCCAAACGTGCTTGAAAAAAATAATCCATGAAGTTGTCCACTTGATTATAAGGTTGAAATACATTTCTTTTTATGAAAAAATATTTACTATGCAGTGGTTAGAATCTAATTGGGTAGTCTTCAACCTACCCCCCATAAGAAGTAAATACGGCTGGCTTTTGGACAGAGGAGTTAACCCAAGAAAAGTAGATGAGGCACTTTCTACTCTTAACCTACGTGATTTAAAAAATGCACAGTGTCAAAGTAAACACGGGATGCCAACCCAAATGAGTAATCACATGAAAAATCCTGTTGCTCACAGGGTGAACAAAAAGCATTAAAAATCAAAGAGATAGAGAAACACACATAAAATAAAAAACCATTGTCAAATAACTATACAAAACACATATTGAACGCATGACCGATGAGAATATCGAAGAAGCAAACCAGAAGTGTGTAAGCTTTTGGGACCGACGACGAAGGAGGAGACCACTGCTGACATTTTTGTATCAGTGAGCAGCAAAAATCGGTGAAGATGAGATAAGATGAAACAGCAGAGAGAGGAATCTGATGTTGTTCGGAGGGATAAAATCTGAGGACATTTTAAAAATAAAAGTCATAAGCAAAATCAGTTTTGGGGGCTAGTACCTTATAACTCCAATATCACTGTTTTTCCATCCCTTTATAAATGCTTCCATGTTTTTTCAAAAACACTCAATCATGTGTTTCTCTTGTTAAGTAAGTACTGCCAAAAAAAAACAGTTTTAAAATAGTAGACCCTCACAAGTCTGGGAAGAGTTGCACACTGCCTGGAGTAGTGTTCAGATTTCTGAAAATAGTATTACTCTTTCCTTAATGAGTGACTTAGACAAATTAAGATATTCATCTCATTGGCCAATTCTTACTTATTATTGCAATAAAATGTTCACTCTATACTCAAAACTAGCTAAAGAAAAGAACCTTTTACCCTAGAAAGAAAAAACCCTCAAAGTTTTTCGAGTACGTGAAAGTTCAGAAACAACTACTCCCTCCGTCTCATTTTGTAAGAAACACTTTCCATTTTGGGTTGTCCCAAAAATATGATCACTTTTCTAAGGTAAACCCCACTAACTTTTTACTTTCCCACTTTATCCCTTTAACTATCATTTCACCTTTTACTTTTTGTGGACTAATCCTACTTTTTTGTAATTTTTGAGGTTAGAATGGTAAAAAAACAACCCTTCTCCTTTATTTTCTTAAAACTTGTGCCAAACCCAAGTATATCACTACAATGATGGATTTGAGTAACTTAGACACATTATGATATTCCTTTATTTCATACTTATTCATATTCAGAAATAAATGAAATATTAATAATGCATGAAAATACAAAAGATGTTCAAAATTGACCACACAGAAATGGGTAATAAAACAATTCCTAAACTACTAAATATCCTTTTAAAAGTAAAACCAACGAAACTACGAAAGAATTAAGCAATGCAAGGCTTAAATGCTTAATTAGCATTGTATTACAGAGTTGCATCTATACCAGCAAAATCTTTATAAAAGTAGGCTAAAATTTCAGAAGTAATAAAAAATCTCAGGCATGTAGATAATTAAGGTTTAAATGCTACAAGATGAAAAGGGCCAGGAAGAATCATAGTTTTTCAAACATCCCCTCGAATTCTTGATCTACAAAAAACAAGCAAGTAGCCTTTTGCAAACTACAGCCAACAAATGAAAGAAAAAATGTAATGCTAAGAAAACTTCAGAGCAAGAGATAGAGGTGATTATATCAGTTCGAGAAAATTGGTAGATTCACGTCCATGAATCATAATCAATAACTACACTATAGTAAGAGGCATGTTAGATTACTGTATGAAATCAACAGATCACACTGAAATTGTGTCAAAGATGAGCTTAAGAAATACCAAGAACAGATTGGCCTAGCACATACTCCCTCCGTCCCATTTATATTGTCCCGTTTTACCTTTTCGAGAAGTTCCACTTAAATTGTCACATACCATATTTGGCAAAGTTTGTGTGGCTCTAAATCATTCTTATTTTATTCTTACTTTATCAATTAATATCAACCACACAAACCCACTTTTCTTAATAACCGTGCCATCCTCTTCCGTCCCAATATAAATGGGACGGAGGTAGTATTAATCTTCAAAAATGAGGAGGGTCTGGGCTATGGAGTGATGGCATCTGCCACGGATATGGCGGAGGAACAAAAAAGAGCAGCAGCTCTGCCTGGATTACAAAGCTCTAATGGTAGAGAAAATGAGGATGTCAAAGATATCTGGTGGAGCAATGAGAGAGTAAAAAATAGAACAAATGAAGAAACAACAAAAGATGAAAACTATAAAGGCCACGTAGAAGGAAAATATGAAGAACAATGAAAAAGAGAAATCTGTAGAAGAAGATACTGAGGCCAAGGTACCTCCCTTAGTCCCTTGACATCTATGTAATTCGAAGTATTAAATATCCTCATTTTATGACTCCAAAAGTAAAAATGACATCTCCATAACAGCTAAACAAAGATCTATTGTGTATATTTATGGAGTGTTATTGAGTTTCCTTGCCTAAAAAAATTATGATCTAATTTCACTTACATTAACTTAAGAGTGCGCCAATTCAAATATCTTCTGCAGAGGCTGCTTGGCAAGAATCAATTTTCAATGGCCAATGATGCGAATGCAATGAAAATTGAACTTTAGAAGGAACGGAAAACCATTTTAGAAGCATGAACTCATGCATATGGGACAAAAAAGTATTTCCAATCACATTAGAATTACGCCGTTCATCCATTGTGTACACATACTGTAGATAAAAAAGACTAATCTTTTACTAGACAAAATGATCAGAAAACAAAGGAGAGAAATTATCATACACCTGTAAGTGAATATGTTCAATTGCTATATTGAATTTTTCGAAGTGCAGACATGAATTTTGCGTCGGAAACTCAAAAAGTTCCTGGTGAGGGAATTGTGAGACGCTGTATCAAAGAAAGGAACGAAAGTCCGAAACAATGATTTTGTGTTGGGCTCAGCTTGAATGGGCTCAGATTTAATGGGGTTGGACTCAGCTTGAGTGGGCTCAATTTGAATGGGCTCAGCTTGAATGGGCTCAGATTTAATGGGGTTGGACTCAGCTTGAGTGGGCTCAATTTGAATGGGCTCAGCTTTAATGGGCTTGGGCTCAGATTTAATGGGCTCAGCTTTAATGGGGTTGGGCTCAGCTTTAGGGGGCGTTTGAAGCTTAACAAATGGGCTGAAAAGCCTTAAAATGCATAAAAATTGCCAAACCTATGAAATTGGCTGTTATGGCTGATTTTTCTTATCACCAGAAAAAGGGAAATTTGTTGATTCAGTCCCGTAACTTATAGCTATATCCGATATTGGTTCTGTAACTTTATTAACTTGCAATTTACATCCCGTAACTAATAAGTTGGTGCAACTTTGGTCCTTCTCTGCCGGAACTTAACAATTTCGCCGAAAAAAGACACATCACCTGTCACATGGTATATTATTTGGAACTCATTTGTTGACTCAATATTGGTCCTTAGCTGGAGTTAAAAAAAAACCAGAGTACGAAAGCTCTTTGCTAAGTGCGTGCACAACCATACCAAGCCTATTATCGGATCTGCAAAAGGGGGAAGAACATATAACTCTACCTGAAGATTTCTCCTGAACTAAGTCGAGAGAGTGAGTTATTCTTCAAATCTGCTAGTAAAGGCTCTCGATCAGACAAAAGTTTATGGAGTGTGATTGTGGTAAAAAGGTTTCTCTTCTAACTTCTTGGACTGATAACGATCCTGGAAGGAGGTTTCATGTGTGCGCTAGAAGCAGAGTAAGAAGTCCAGCTTTTTAATTTACATTGTTTGCTTCTTTTTTTACTAAATAAACTAGAAATTTAAGAATAGCATTTGAATAATAAATTTGTTTGAAAATTAAAATGTATTTTATATTTTAAGCTAGGTTCTGCTAATAAAATTACCATCTTCTATTTGTTGGGGGCATTTGATAATGTAATTTTGTGTTCAAAGCAGTAAAAAGTAAGTTAAGCTTCATCTTGTTTTGATACAGACAGAAGGTTGCAGATTTTTTGAATGGGCAGACCCACCTATGTGCCATCGTTGAACGATAATAATTCCGGGATTGGTTAGAAGACGCAATTCAAAAGAGGAAGAGGTTGTAAAGTTGAAGGCTAAAAATAAAAGGCTCCTCATAGTTGTTGTGGGGCTAGTGTTTTTGCTCCTGGTCTTTCTCATGTTAAAGATGTGAGAAGTGAAGATGATGTAACATTTCAAATGCTATATTCTTAAAACATGAATCCAGAAAGCTTTAAACTTCATTCAAAATGCTCATGCTGCAACCAAGAAGAAATAATTTTTTAACTCTAGCTAAGGGCCAACATTGAGTCAGCAAATGAGTTCCAAATAATATACCATGTGGCAGGTGATGTGTCTTTTTCCGGCGAAATTGGTAAGTTCGGGCAGAGAAGGACCAAAATTACACCAACTTATTAGTTACGGGATGTAATCTGCAAGTTAATAAAGTTACAGGACCAATATCGGGTATAGCTATAAGTTACGGGACTAAATCAACAAATTTCTCCCAAAAAAAACTAGTTTATGCTTACTTCTTGAGCTGATATTTATTATTTTATCATTGTCTATTGCAAAGTCTCCTTTACCTTTCTATTGTGCCCGGAATGCATCTTCCGTTGCTCCAGATCCAAAATCGACATTTAACATATTCATCCACTCGATTGAGAACTCTTACTCAAGTGCTCCATGTTCATGAAGGTAAACGGTGCTACATGTCCAAAGTGAAGACTCTTCTTCTTCAATTCTTCCCAGACCCACTCACACTCTTATTTCTTCCCAAAATATATGACAATGATTACTAGTAGTAGTTGATTATTCTGTAGTGATTATTTGTAGTTGATAAATCGATGTTGTGAGAAGGTTCTTGGATGCCTGTTTCTATCTAAACTTTGCTCAATATTATCTTTAATTGAATTGTTTGATGTTATTTGTTCTTGATAGTTCTTAAGAACAAAATATAATAAGGATGCTTTCTTTTGGACTGTTTTCAGTCCCAGATCAGACCAGACCAGACCAGACATTCGTAGTTATAAAAATATAAAATACACAGAGATCGGACGTTTACCAACCCAGATTAGACCAGATCAAACCAGACCAGATCAGACCAACAAATTTCAGTCTAAAAGAAAACATCCTAAGACAATTACTCCGTATAAAAGAAGGTATAAAAGAAGGTCTAGGAGTTGTTGAATTGGCATGATAATTTTTTACGAATTAAGCATTAGTGTTTTTTTAAGAAATGAAAACATTAGCCTCCTGTAAACCCTTCGACGTATATACATAAGATACCCTTATGGTAATTTTACATTCAATCAGCCAATATATTATCAAATACTTTCACTTCAGCAGATTCGGCAATTTCAGTCTATCCAGCCGTTACCGAACGGCCCCTTAATAGGCAGGTCATGGATTTGTTATTTTACTAGGTTTAATGCATCAAACCTCATTTGATATATTACATACTTCGTAAAAATTTGGTGCATAAGTCTGTGATTTAATAATGCTTCAACTCTCATATGCTATAATTATTTATGCACAAAACATCTTTCAATAGCAAATTCAACAATTTGAAAATTATTTGTCTCAATATTATGATTATGCAAGTAAATTTGTCAAAATTTCTAAATTATGCAAAAATACTAATCATTTTTATTTATTAGGCAATTAAATTTGTTCTTGAAGGGATTTTTGCGAATAAATAATTATAACACGGGGGGTTTGCTGCATTTTTTAAATCAAAGAAGTGTAATGAGCCGAATTTATATATCATGAGAAGGTTTGATGCATTAAACCCTTATTTCAGTAGATAAATAGATGAAATTAGCCAATTTTGTTTCGTCCATATATTTCAGTAGTTTTACATGACTATCAAAACACTCGATCCATATTAAATATACTATACTGAGTCACTCATTCGTGTGATGTACGAAACATAATTGAATCTGAGGTTTGTCAATAAATAATACTTCGACCAGACCCGATTAGTGACCATAATCAATTCAACCTGTGACCAATCCAACTAGTGATCACGACCAATCACTATGGCCAATCTGACTAGTGACCAACCTGACCAGTGACTATGAACAACCCGATCAATGATTGTCACCACTCTAATTAGTGGCTGACGCGAAATTTGACTAGCCCGGCCAACGACCTCACCGCTTGGGTTGTGATCGACCTCTGTCACTCTGCCCCCAATGACTACCCTGCCCTCCCCCCCCCCCCCCCCCCCCCCGATCACCACCGCCGCCACCCGCCGCACATGCACCTCTGCCCACCATTTTCCAGGCGGCCAATGAAGGCGCTTGCCGGTTGATTTGATTTTCTATTAAAATTACTCCTTGCGTACATAAGACTTGGTCATGTTGACTCTTCTTGATCAATGATGGTCAAGTTCCATAAAATATACAAGTTTGACCAATAATGATAATATAAAATATGAAATTTCTATGAAAATATTTTTGTTAAAAGTACAAAAAATTATAAGTTCCATGAAAATATAATAATTAAAATCATTATTGAAAATTTATTATCGTTGACCAACAAACGTCAAATTAGGCAAGTTTTGGGTTACAGAGGGAGTATAAGGTATAAGCATTAAATTGAGTTAATGGCATTATGACTTATCCATACATATTATACTTCTTTTTTAACTCCAAATAAAAACTTAATAAAATACCGAAATTTTATGCTAACTTAGTTAAATGGGTTGTAACGATCTCATACTCTGAATATTTTTAATAAAACTAATATTTTGTCTGATTTATTTGGTCTAATCTATTTAAGTGACTGTTCTGATATTTAAAAAACGGGTTTGATATATTATGATAGTTGTTTGTTTGTGTATTTTTGGATGTAGTATCATCAATTACTGATCTAACTCGGATTACAGGATTAGTATGATCCTTGAAACAACTGACTAGTTTTTTTGCAAAAGAAAAGGGGCAATTTCGCCCTCGAACCATTAGGGATTTCGCAATCAAAGTCTTGAACCGAAAGACTTGCAAATACACCCTTGAAGCGGAAGACTTGCAAATACACTCGATTCATTGAAATAAAGCAATCAGATTCTTTTGTATGATTTATTAATGGGGGCATCATTTTTTTTTTGCTTTCGGGACACTACTCCTTAATGCATAATTTTCTAATATTTTTATAACTAAAAGACAAAGTTATTGGGGCCTATGCCCCATTGCTTATTAGATACGTCCACTCGACCACTCCTAAATGTAACTAATAATTAGTCCAGGGGCAGAGTCAGAGCATTGGATCGGACTGGGACGATACAAAGAATATGTTCGAAATAAAAAATTACACGGAAATTTTTACACTGAAAATATACACATCTTTTAAATTTGGACTGTGCCAGGTAGGGTCAGGGTTGACCCTCCCCTAGCTACGCTCCTACTAATAACTTGACTACTCCAATGATTTCCTCAGCCACCAAGTAGCCATAAATATAGCTTCCATGCATCAGTGCCTAACTTTTTCAAATGTGACTAACGATGTTTTTAATTGGATTGTTTTCACTCCCAGACCAGAACAAATTAGACCAGGCCGGACTTAAACAGAGTGCACCAAACTAGACCAGCAAATTTCAGTCCAAGTAAAAACATCCTAATATATATAGGCTCACTTTTACTTCTTAGATGCTATATATTTGGACCATTTGGTTGATAAACAAAATCATTAATTGAATAAAGAGATCCTTAATTGTATTCCAGGAATAGAAATTATTTTTCGTTATAAGACTAATTACATTACAATAACTACTTTTTCATATATGCATTCAATATATATACTCCGTAGTATGTACTTCATGATGTTTATTATACGATCGATAAGCATATCTTTAATTGTTATCTCGGCGGGGGTGCTCATTCTTGATGTCACCGGTAATGGCCGGAATGCAACTGGAAGTCCTTGCTATCCCCACACCTTTGTTTTGAACGGTTTTGTTAGCCCTAATAGCTTTGTCGGCCCTCTTCTTCTTCAACATCTGTCTCATGGCTTCCGCTTGGTAAAGAACCGGGTGAGCCCTAACATGCTTGTTGAACTTTGAGCATGCATTCATGTGGCTGCTCAAAGCCTCCTCTCTTATGACGCCCTTCTTCCCTTCCTCCTCCTTCACCGCCTCGGAGCACAGCCCGCAAATCCACTTCCCTACGAATTTCGAACGCACTCGTGCTATGTACTGCGGGGTGCAGTCCTCCGACAGCCCGCAGCACTCGCACTTCGTGCCTTCCACCTCAATGATGGGCGGTAGATTTGCGTCTCTACCCGGGCCGCACGTGGACATGGTGACCTCTTTGCTCAGCACCATTGAGATGTCGGAAACCGTCCGTTTAAGATTGTCATTGGATATCAAAGGTTGTTTGATAACATTTTGATCGTTGTTTTTGTTATTGTTGTTGTTCTTTGTAGTATGGTTTGACCTCAATAATGACTCTCCATGGGGTGCCATGGTTGTGAGCTAGCTAGCTCGATAAAGTGGCAAAATGTGAACCTCGAAAAAATGTGTATTATTGGCCGGTTTCTTGATTTGGAGTTTTCTTGTATTTATAGATATATGGATACAGGCATGGCGGTTAATTAGTTCACGAGTATTATATACTACGTACTACTAGTATATATATATATGCTACTTGATTGGAGACTAAAAAATATTTCTGTGGGCTATTGGTAAAGATTGTCACATGTTTACGTGACTAAAAAATGTCTTTAATTTGAAATCATTGAATGTGATTGTTAACGTGGCTTGAAGGGGTTCTCAAATGAATTGAAAGGCACTGGCTATCTGTATTAGCTATGGTAGGTTTAACTTAATACGAGTTATATACTTATATATATGCGCATGATATGATAAAGAAAAATACACACCATAAATTAATTAAAAATGTGACCTATCAATTTAACAATGACATACGTCGATTAGTCGATACATGATATATGATCGATCAATTTAAATTAAATGAGAGAAATTAAACGTATTATAAGAACTTTGTGATTGAAAGTTCATGATAGGTCCAAGTCTAGTTAGATCTTTGATGATGATAATATTAAAGGAGATTAAATGGTTTTTTATCAATAGTTGTTGAAGATATAAGAAATCACTGAATTGTCTTCTGGAGGAGTTATTAGTTGATCGACCAGGCCTCGCCCGTGGTTAGGGCATTTTTTGTAACAGGGAGACTTATATTGATAATAAAACATTCAACAAAGGATACAAACGATAAAGGAAACACTTCCAGCCACCAACTCTCAGACCAGCTGGAGAACCAATCACCATGGATAGAGCAATATGATTCGTTTGTCCTGTAATGGGTCTAAATGAGCCAAACGTACGTGGCCAAAGCAAAAACCCTCATCACCCCCACCTAATGTAAGAGTCTGACTGAAATAGAAATAGCAGAAGGCAACCACGATAGTGTTCATGCCTAAGAAGCTCAAAAACAATAAAACGAAATTAAATAAAATAAGTTGACATAGCAACTGGAGCCCTGCTTCAAGCATCATCCTCGGCGGTGGCTCAGGCGGGGGACGGATCATCATCCCTTCATCTTGAAACATTCCTGAATTCTCCCCAATCGAAACCAGTAAACCTAACGAGGAGGCAATACCCTCTTGAACCCCAATGTCCATGTCCTTATATTTGTTAGCAACTTCTTCCATCTCTTCCTCTCGTTGTGCGTGCAAACTATCAGCTAGCAACCAAGCCAAAAAACGTACTGCCTAGCAATCTTCCACAAAGTTGTTCAACAGCAAAACGGATCTAGCTACCCCCTGCCGACGCCGAACTCCAGCCGGAGAGAACGCCCCTCGTCGAAACAAATTAAAGCAGAGCGGCGCTCAAGATCCTAGCCCCGTCCGAGATGCCCGCCCAAATCCCGAAGCCCGGCTCCTCCCCTCCACGAACGAACGCAAACAAACAAAAAAATACTGCAGCCGAATCCTCCCCTACCGATCTAGAAGGAAGAAAAAGAGCGCTACAAAACTAACCCTAGAGAAACCTAGGGAGAAGTCCGCGTCTCACTACAAGTTTCGTAGATTTGCTACTTGAATATGTAGGTACTTCGTGGTCAGGGCATTATTATTGTAAAAATAACTTATATATATGGATATGGATATCTGAAATTTGTTGGTGTAATATTAAAGCTATACAAACGTGTACATTAAGTTTGTGATCTTGTATTTTATTACATTAAGCTCCCCTAAATTCCTAATTAAATTGTATTCTGAATATTCCTAATTTTAGGAATGTATAATTGCTTTCCTTCCTCGGTTAGTCTAGTAGCATCTTTTTTCTTATTTATAGTGTTCGTCTATATTTTGTGCATGTTTGGCAGACAAAAGTCTTTGTCTTCTAGTTTTTGTACTGTTCAAAAAGCATCTAAAAACATCTAGTGGTACATTTGACATGACAATTTTTAAAAGGTTTTCGAAAATTAAAAGATCTTTTTTGAAAAAAAAAAGGATGACACCCCATCCCTGAGGGCCCCCCAACACCGACTGGACAGCACAATGGGAGGATGTAAGTTGGACTATAATCACAACCTGACAGATAGAGAGTGGGGCTCCGTCCCCGGTACTTGCAGAGGCCCTATGCATTTTTCAACATAGTAACCCCTTATCGCAGTTGCCGGGATTCGAACCCGAGACCTAACCCTTGTGACACTCTCTTGCTACCAGTTGAGCTACGCCCACCGGTTTAAAAGATCTTTTTTGAAAAAAAAAAGATCTTTTTTGAGATGCTAGGGGGAGTAGCATCTGGGAAAAGTCCATGACTTTTAGTATTAATTAGTCCGAACAACTTGTATATCAAACCGAACTAAATCAAACAGTCAGCCTTTTATCAAACAGCTAACATCTTTTCTTTTTAAGATCTTTTCAGTCACTAAAAGCTAACAGTTACTAAAAAGTTTACAAAAATATCTTTTCAGCTAGTTGTGCCAAACATACGAAACCGATTTATTTGTTTATTTTCTATTGTAGAGTAGTTTTAGTATTATTTTTAGTTTTGATTATTTTATTAGTAGGAGGAGCTTCTGTGTTGATAGAGAAGTCTACATCTTTGCGGAGTTAGCAAATTGTCATGTACCTTCAGAACTTTTCAGTTTTATGTCTCATCTCATTTGTAGCCTTAGGCTATCTGAATTGCATTTGTACTGATCATTTTTATTATTAAAAAATAAGTGTTTCCATTCAAAAGAAAAAAAGAAACTGTCATTATAAATAAGGGAACTCAAAGATATTTTTATGATCAATCAGGGATCTGAATGATAAAGTGTATCAATATAGGGCTCGAATTATTGAAAACTATAAATCTAACTCCTAAAATTTCATAAATTTTATTATTTTCTTATTTTAAAATTAAAAATAAAACTAATAAACTTTTGTGAAGATAAAATCTTCACAAATTAGCAATAAAATGAACAATAAAAAAAGAGATCAAAATTTATGATATTTTAATTCTTAGATTGATATTTTTCAATCATTCGTGTTCTATATCGACACACTTTTTCTGTTAGGTCCCTCATTAATAATGAATTTATTTTTTAGGTCTCGTATTGATAAAATTCCTGATTAGGATTACATTATCCTAAGAAATTAAAATCTTCAAATGCTGATTTCGTTGGCGATGAATAATTAGGCCTACATTCCCCCCCTAATGGAGGGTTGGGCTGGTCGGGGCTGGGGCATGCAGGGCTAGTGGTTGCGATGCAAACTAGACGAGGGCGGGGGTTGCGGTAGGCAGATTCACCTACATGGGGCGGAGACGACAGTGACTATGGGATCACGGTATCGACAATGGCGGATGGGTTGCGGCAACCGTTGTGTTATTGGGTGGAAAATTAAATGGTGTGTCACTGAAGCGATAAACTGTAACTTTCGACAGTAGTCACAGACTTACAGTCGATGGTGGTCATTGTGGTCGGTGGCGGGGGTCAGTGTGTGAACGGCCGGCGGCGGAGGACACTATTGTCGTCAGTGGTCATTGTGGTTTGAAGTGATAGTCACTACCGCCAGCAGCGGTGGTCACTTGATCAGTGGTATTGATTATAACTGACGATAACGAGTTACGGTTACAACGAGTCCGTAAGGCATTTGGTCACTTGGACATTTTGTAATGGTGACCGAGTGAGCTACTCAATCATTAAACTTGAAAGGACATTATATTTTTTCTTAGCATTTCATTTAGTAGTACTACCTAGTATTATTTTGGTAGATTCTATGGTACATTTAAGGTACCATACTTTTGTCCACATGGACAAATCAGAATGATGCAGTTGAATTATTTAAATATAAATTAAAAATGATATATTATGATATGGACCAATCAAGTGAATGATAGGTATCGTACCCCAATTTTTAAATGGGTATCGAAGTTGTCACCTACTATTTTTGGCGAAATCGGATTATTTCGGGAGACACGTTTACTTTGAGGTTTAATTTGCTTAATATGAAATAATCTTCCATAATAGATTTGCCGGGATAGATGTGCGTGTAATAAAATTAATATGAAAATTTTATTTTGTGAAAGAAAATAATGATTTGGGATGTAGCATGTTGCGTATGTATGTGATTAACATTTCATAGAACCATAACAATAACAAAGCATCAAAACTTTGAAATTATGTTGATCACATACGTAATCCAATTCAACTACCCAAGTGATGAATTGGGGGCTAGCTATTATGTATAACTTTTCTCATTTTTTAAAGATATTTTCTGGATTTAGGCATTCTAAATTAACTATACGGAGTATAATTTTTCACCTAACAAAGGAAAAATTTATACAATTAGAATTGAAATACCATACTCGTTCAATATACAATTAAATTTTATATAGACAAAATATGACAAAAATGTGAGTTAGTAATTTTTAATGATTACGATTTCAATCAAATATGACATCATAGTTAATTACTCGTATATCATAGTTACTAGCCTATTTTTATTCAGCATTTTTTCATGAGTAGTTTTCGTGAAATTTTTTCATATAAAATTTGTCTTTTTCTATTCTCTATATACAAATTAGAAACAATTCAAAAGGCAAGGACACCGTACACGAAATCTCAAAAGATGCGTGATAATTATTTGAAGGCCCTCTAAAAGCAAAAAACGAAAGACAAGTTGAAATGTCTGTCCTGCAAATGGGTCAAGAAGACCAGTCCGGACGAGGATCGGAGGACTAAGGGAGTAGTGGAGGACCTAAGGGGGGCTAGGTGGGGCACGTGCCCCTACTTCGAGCCCGGAATTTCACTAGTAGTACTTAGGATAAAAACGAGTGCCCTGACTTCATACTAGTATTTGATAATTAAGATACTAAAATGTTACGGTATATAAATAAAAAATTAATACAAAATATTTAAATTTTAGCTGAATTAAAATAAAAGATATAGAATTATAAAAAAAATAATTAAAAACAAAAAGTATCAAAAAAAGTTAAAATGCAAAAAAGTGGCTAGCTTATGTGTGGGCAACTAAAAGTATGTAGTATTAAAAGTCTAAAACCTACTAACATTTGGAAGACTAGAATGATAAAAGCCAAAGTTCTCCGATTTCTATGAGTCAAAGCTACTGAACCTTGCGGAGTTATATTCATGCGATTTTTCATTTGTTAATCGAATGGAGCTGAAAGAGCAACTCCATGTGTGGATTTATGAAATGAGAACAAATGAGTCATTTTCTGCCGTACAAAAACTATTGGTGAAGTTTGTAAAAAGATGGTTGAGCTTAAAGTTCACAATTCTTTTCACTTGGTATATCGTCTGATTGAGTTGGCTTTAGAGCCTTTAGTGTTACCAGTTGCAACGGTCACCGTTGAAAGAGCCTTCTCTGCGATGAATATTATCAAGACAGATCTTCGCAATAAGATGGGAGATGACTTTCTTACTGATTGCTTGGTGTGCTACATCGAGAGAGATGTTTTTAGAAGCATCGATAATGAAACTATTATGCAACATTTTCAGAATATGAAAACTCGTAGGCTCGATTTACCAGAGTTGCAGCAGTGAACTATTTAATATGTAATTAACTATTCTATATAGTTTAATACATTTTTTTTACCATTTTTATTACATTTGCAGTTTTTATTATAGACTAACTTTGGTATCTAGTGTGCCCCCGCTCTCACAAATCTCTGGGTCCGCCACTCTAAGGGAGTGTTTGCGATTGTTTGTGCTTTTCAAAAGTGATTTTTTTAAGATTTTTTTTTGGAAAAATGATTTGTAGTAAAAGTTGGCAGTGTTTGAGTATAAAAGTGATTGTGATTAAAATGTAAAAGCTGAAGTGTTTGGTAGAAAAGTGATTATTGATGTATAGTTTTATTGAAGTACAAAAAAGCCCTTGCACTAATAAAATCAGAACCGGCTTTAGAGCCAAGGAACCCAGGCTACTGCCTAGGGCATCACTTGGAGTGGGGGCACCATATATTAATCATAAAACTAGTACTATCTTATTACTTGTGACTACTCCGTATTATTATGTGTATGCTAAAATAAAAGTGTGTTATTAATTATTCCGTATTAAAATTTGGAAGACAAAAAGTGGCCCACTAACCCATCAAGGAATCAACCGTATGGCCACATCTATTACCCATGTAAGTGTTTGACATGTTGCCTTAAACATTTCATTTTGCATTCTTTTAATTAAAAACTAAATTTAATTACTCCCACTCTCCCAGGCCAATCGTATAACTGTCCACTAAATTTTAATTACTCCCACTATCATCACAAATAATGTACGGATTAATAAGGAGTAAATTAAGAAGAAACCAAAAGTCTTTTCACTTGGAACTTGAAACACTTCGGAAACCAAATCTACATAGCCGCCGCCCTTTAATTCTTTTAATTAATTGTTTAGCAATCACCAACAACGAATTCAGCCATAAGTATTA